CCCCCCCTCCTTTCTTTTCATGATGTGACGACACGGACAAACACTTTTAAAAGTCACAACATGTGTGAATGAAGTGAAAAAGTAGGTTTGACAGTATGCAACCTGGTCCCAGCGTTCTGTCAACTGCATTACGTTCTAAGAAATTCTACGTAGTATTTAATTTAAAAAAAGAAATATTCTCAAGGTGTTTGAAATTAAGTTCTATATTCTACTATGTATTAACAATACAATGACAAATTGAGAATGCGCCGTAATTTTTTTATTATTTTCTCTGGGTATCGCTCAACTTAACAAATTAATAAAGAAGACATTACAATCATACATCAACTGTCATGTTTCGTGGGACATCCTGTAACTAATCAGTCCATGTTAATTATTTTGAATGATAAACCATTAAAAAATTGTTTTACCTAGTACTACATTTACTGTTTTTTCTTATTATTTCTGATTAAAGGGACTGTAAGTGTGATTTCAAGTTACCCTCAATGTACTAAAGATGTCAATACCTGTTTTACAATGATACCATTTCAACCTTAAAAAATGTTTAAGATAATGTTGTTTCGGACTTAAAAAGTGTTTACTTCTGATAATTTCTCCATCCCTAGAAAGCAGAGGACGTCCTAAGGTCGTCATGGGGACGTCAATAATTACCAGTGCGACGTTCGGCGACGTCATATTTTAGGTGTTGAGGACATGTTGAGGACATTTAACGCAAGGATACTTACGTCCTCACAACCAAACTTTCGAAGTCGAAATGACGTCACTTTAGACGTCCAAATGACCAAACTTTTGATGTCCAAATGACCAAAGTTTTGACGTCCAAATGATGAAAGAAGTCATTTATTTATTAACCACTGAGCAGAGCTTATTTTATTCTATTAGTATTGCTACACTTTAACCCTTCCCCTCTGGTATTACATTCACTCCATAACTGTCCTTCTGTTGTTGTTACCCTGGTCAGGTTAAGACCAGTATGAGACCAGTTAGGTATCTGGATCTAACTCAACCTAACCTGACCAAACACAACCTAGGGGGACTGGTCATGTTCCGACCAGTTAGGTCTCCTGACATAGCTCAACCAATCTTGACCAAATCTGACCTAAGTGGATTGGTCAGGTTAAGACCAGTATGAGACCAGTTAGGTAACTCAACCTAACCCGACCTTACCTGACCAAAAACGACCTAGGGGGACTGGTCATGTTCCGACAGTTAGGTCTCCTGACATAACTCAACCATTCTTGACCAAATCTGACCTAAAGTGGATTGGTCAGGTTAAGACCAGTATGAGACCAGTTAGGTAGCTCAACCTAACCCAACCTTACCTGACCAAACACGACCTAGAGGGACTGGTCATGTTCCGACAGTTAGGTCTCCTGACATAACTCAACCAATCTTGACCAAATCTGACCTAAGTGGATTGGTCAGGTTAAGACCAGTATAAGACCAGTTAGATAACTCAACCTAACCCGACCTCACCTGACCAAACACGACCTAGGGGGACTGGTCATGTTTCGACCAGTTTGGTAATCTGACGTAACCCGACCTAACCTGACCCAACACACGTACCTAAGGGGACTGGTCATATTGCAACCAATTTGATAATCTGACGTGACCCGGCCTAACCTGACCTATCTTGACCTAATGGGACTGGTCGCACGACATCTCTGGTTTCTAGGAATTGCTTCTTGTAAGCAATAAATGTGAAAACTACTTTTGAGGAGAACCTGCAAATAAAAATAACCAGTTATATTAAGAGAAATAGAGAAATTCATGCTTGATTATACAAAGCTTATATTTACTGATGTAAATCAAGCATAGCCATCATTGCATAGAGGGTCACTTCTCGGAAAACCCATTAAAGTTGCTAACGTTAAATCACTTCATTAGGTATAGTTACCTAACGTACTAAAAATTGTAAAGTTTCAGAACGTTAGATAACATAAATGTTGTCTATACAACTTTAGCTTATGTAACTTAATGAAGGTTAGCACTTTATCCCCGTAGTAAATTTGAATTCGAACAGGACCTGCCCAGTTTGTACCGGCCTGCCAGATAACACCATGTACTGACCCGATCCTATGGTACAGTACGTCGCCCTAACCAAACTAACATACAACAGGGGTCAACTTTCTTGTCATAGTCCACTGGCTTAACCAACCCCACTGGCTTAGTCCACTTTGTTAGGTAATCTTAGTTTTAGGTTTATTTGAACTTTGCAGTAACGTAAGAATTAGCGTAAATTTACGTTACATAACGAAAGATATAACATCAGCTAAAGATTTTCTATGTATGTCAGATACCGTTATTTGACATAATTGTGGAACGGTAATGAACGTTTATTTACGAAATATCTTACTTCATTGTAAGGTTTAAAGTTTTATGTAAGATATCGATAATATATGTAACAAAATTTTTGCAAATTTTGTGACTTAAATGCCAAACTATTTATATAATTTGCCCTTAACATTTCTAAAAATGTTTTGTGCGTATAATTTTATGTGAATAGTTTAATTTGTTAGACTGCAGCATGGATTGATTATTGAATCTTTCCCCCACCCCATCCCCCCTTACCAGATAGATACTGATAGCTCAATTTAGACAATTGTGCTTTTTGACTTGCATTCTCCC